AAAAAGAATTATTAAAGCTCAGTGATAAAAAGACAACCCAATTTATTTATTTATTTATTTATTTTTTGTCTTTTTGTGAGATCGGCCACACTGTGCTCAGCCAGTGAGCGCACTGGCCATCCCTATATAGGATCCGAACCCGCGGCTTGGCTCAAGACAACCCAATTTAAAAATTGGCAAAAGTTTGAAAGGACATTTCTCCAAAGAAGGTACACAAATGGCCAATAAACACATGAAAAGATGCTTAACATTATTAGCCATCAGGGAAATGCAAATCAAAACCCCGATGAGCTACCACTTCTCAACCACTAGGATGGCTATAGTAATTTTTTAAAAACTAGATAGTAACAACCTTGTTGGTGAGGATATAGAGAAATAAATTACTGGTGGTGCAGCTGCTTTGTAAAACAGTTTGGCAGTTCCTCAATAAGTTCAATATAGTTGCCATATGATCCAAAAGTTCTACTCCTACTTAAGCATCCAAAAGAATTAAAAACGTATGTCCATTCTGATCCCCATACAGGCCAGCTGCCAAAAAAAGATAAAAACATATGTCCACACTAAAACTTATAAATAAATGTTGTAGCAGCATTATTTATAACAGTCCCAAAGTGGAAATAAGCCAAATGTTCATCAATTGATGAATGCATAAATAAAATGTGACACAGTCATACAATGCAATATACTATGTAACATTACTCATCAATAAAAAGAAATGAAGTCCTGATACATGCTACAACATGGATGTACCTTTAAAACGTTACACTAGGGAAAAGAAGCCAGACACAAAAGGTCACATATTATATGAATCCATTTATATAAAATGTTCAGAACAGGCAAAACTAGAGACAGAAAGTAGACTGGTGATTGCACAGGTTGAGGAGGGTGAGGTAGGGGAAGGGGAGAAAGGTAGGGAGTGACTGCTAATGGGTAGGGGGTTTCTTTTATGGGGGATAAAAATGTTCTAAAATTAGATCATGGTGATGGGTACACAGCCCCATGAATATACTAAAAAACAGTGAATTATACTTTAATTAAGTGAATCGTATGGTATGTAAATTATATCTCAATAAAACCCTCTAAAATAATGAGGGGATGTGCCTCTGCCCATCTATTTCATGGCCCTGGCCCCATCCTGAATTATACAGTATAGAAGCTACCACCCAAAGGAGAGATGAGCACAGATGGATTTGAAAAAGCAAGACTATATCCCACTGTGAGCCCCAGCCCACAGCTGGGATAAACGCTGGCACTGTGTGTCCTGTGCACATGAGCATACAAATTCCCACTTCTACTCTCCTTGACCCTCCTTGGTACAGTGTAAGTGTGAAACCCAGAGAGATAAGTAGTCAGAGGCACCCAAACCTATAAAGGAATTCATTCTCTCTCCCTTCAGCTTGGCACGAACCCTGACCCACACTCTCGCCTTCCCTCCTGTGCACTTTCTCTGTAGGTCCCCCTGCCCTGGCTAGGCAGGTGGGGCTTCAATTACAGAAGGGGTGGATACCACACACATACCTTTCCTACTGACACTCAATAAAAGTCAATAACTTTGTCGGAGAAACTTGAAAGGCCACACAAGCATAAATGAAAAAGGTAAAGAGCTGGAGTTCACAGCCTTTGACTGACACTTCATTGGGCTAAGAGTTCTCAAGCCTCTCCACCCATGGCTCTCTCAAGGCGATGCCCAGGGCTGGCTTAATGGGGTTTTCAACAGACTATATTGGCTTATTCTAGAACAGTTCTGTCCAACAGAAATACAATACCAGCCACATATGTAATTTTTAATGTTCTAGTAACCACATTAAAAAAACTAAAAAGATGGGCTCGCTGGTTAGCTCAGATAGAGCACTGTGTTGGTAACACCAAGGTCAAGGGTTTGCATTCTGGTACCAGCCAGTGACCAAAAAACAAAAATAAAAAAAAGTAAAAAGAAACAGGTGAAATTATTTTAATAATACATTTTATTTAACTCAATATATCCAAAATATTTTCATTTTAACATGTGATCAATAAAAAATTATTAATGAGATTTAACATTCTTTTTTTCACACTAAGTTGTCAAAAACCAGTGCTTATTTTACACAGCACATCTCAATTAATTTGGACTAGCCACATTTTAAGTGCTCAATAGCCAAGTGTGGCTAGTAGCTGTCACACCAGACAGCAGTTCTAAAACCCAGTTCAAGTCATAAAGTGAGTATTTTCAAAGCCTGGTATTTTTTGAAAACATTAATTTAATAAGTACTAAGGAGGAAACTGAGGCAGAGAGAGGTGAAGTGACTTGCCTAAGGCCTTATATGTTGGTGACTTAGATTAGTTAAGGGCCAAGACTGCGGTCAGATGGGACTGACCTTCTTCACAGGGTCAATGTGAAGATGACAGGAGACTATGGGAAGTGACCAGCCCAGTGCCTGGCTTATTTCCACTACTCACCCACCAAGACACATCAGCGCCATCGTTTCAATGCTATTAACACTCCCCCCCACAAGGATGGGGAGGCTATGGGGAGAAGGCAGAGACCACTCGGGGTCACTAGCTGGAGAAACCCTGCATCAGCTCGGACACATTTCCCCATGACCTTCTCCCGAACAGCTTGCCCCACTCACCGGGCTGGTGGGTGAGGAAACCACAAGCTTCGGCCCAGCTCTGTCATCCTCCAGGGCCTTCTGCAGGCCACTCCGTTGACTGGCTGCTCTGGTTGTCTCTCCCGGTACTAGAAGGCTGCTGGCCTGGCTCTCTGCAGGGACAGCTGGGGCAGTGCCTGGCTGCTGCAAATCCAGGGTGCCAGGCACCTGGGAAAGCAGCTGCTGCTTGTGGCCACCATCGCGAGGCCCAGAGGATGCTTGGGCAGGAAGGAGCTCTGCCGGCACATCAAAGTGTGGGTGTGTGCTGGAGTCGAGGCCGTGGCGGGACAGCAAGGTTTGGAGCGTGGGAATCTCCAATTCTTGGCTCAGTCTGTTGGTTGGCACAGAGTTTACCTGGGCTTTGCTGAATTCCGACAACACCCTAGAAATTTTTAAACAAAGAAACCTGTGTGACAGGATGTCAGGCTACAGTGCCCAAGGCAATTGGGGCAGGAGTAAGAATGGAAAACTGCTGTTTTATGATTTAAAACAAACAAACAAACAAACACCACCCTCTTAATGCACACACAGCTTTCCTCTAACACTCCCACCAGTGGTTCTTCCTGGCTGGAACTAGCACAGATGAGGAAGACAGTGAGTTGTGGAGCCCAGGATGTCAGGTGGAAAAGCTCAAAAAGCAGAGACAGAGGACTTGGTGTGAATGGGAACTGAATGCCATTCTGAACAGGCTAACTGTGGGCCTGGAGAGTCTACTCAGCCAAAGAAATGGTTGTCTGGGCAATATTTATGAAAACACCGCAGGGCCGGCCCATGGCTCACTCAGGAGAGTGTGGTGCTGATAACACCAAGGCCACAGGTTCGGATCCCATATAGGGATGGCCGGTTACCTCACTGGGTGAGCATGGTGCTGACAACACCAAGTCAAGGATTAAGATCCCCTTATCAGTCATCTTTAAAAAAAAAAAACAAAACCCTCTGTCTGCAGCAGAGCCTCCATGAACAGAGCATCTCAGGCCGGGGCTCCCCAACAGTATAAGCAAGGTGTGCAAGGGTGTATACAAGTATACATGGGCTGTCCACCTACTCCTCCCAGTGGCACTGTCACTCCCTGTCCCCTCTGGTGCTTCCTGGGGCCACAGGGAAACAATGTTACTGCCTTTGTACACATACATGCTGCACACACACACCGCACAGAAACATATCTCTAGGCTTTCTGGAATGTGCACTGGCTAGTGACTGCTCCTCCATTTCCTGACGCTTTTGAGAATCTAAGTTCCATTTCTAAAATAAACCCATTTGTTGTTTCATCTTCTGCTTATAAACAAGTGAAGTCTGTCATGGACAAATGCAGGGTCAGGTGGCAACAAAGCTGTCTGAAGCCTAAGAGACTGCACACATCTGCCCTAAGGGCTTAAAGGAGGTCCAGAAGATACATAAGTTCCCCTTAATTTGGGTTTATGGAAACGAGGATTTTAGAACTCAAGTAGCTAACCTGATTGTCTTCTCACTGAGCTCTGCTCTTACTCATAACCCCAAACATTAAGACATTAATTATAGTCAAGAACAACCCATAAAATTATGAGCAATTAATTTTCAACATGGACACCAAGACATTTCAATGGAGAAAGAACAGTTTTTTCAACAAACATTGCTGGGATAAGTGCATAGTCACATGCAAAAGAATAAAGTTGGACCGCTATCTCACACCATATACAAAAATTAACTCAAAATGGATGAAAGATGCAAATATAAGTGTGAAAACTATAACACTCTTAAAAGGAAATATAGGTATAGATTTCATGTCTTTGGATTAGGCAATGTTTTCCTAGATATAACATCTAAACCATAAGCAACCAATTAAAAAATAGATAAATTGAACTTCATTAAAATTAAAAACTTTTGTGCTTCAAAGGATACTATCAAGAAAGTAAAAAGACAACCCACAGAATGGGGGGAAATATTTGTAAATCACATATAAGGTCTAGTATCCAGAATATATAAAGAACTCTTACAACTCAATAATAAAAAAGACAAATAACCAAATTTTAAAATGGGCAAAGGATTTGAATAGATATTTCTCCAAAGAATATATACAAATGGCCAGTAAGCCCTTCAAAAAATGCTCAACATCAACAGTCATCAGGGAAATGCAAATCAACTGCAATGAGATATCGCTAACCCACCAGGATGGCTGTAATAAAAAAGACAGAGAATGACAAGTGTTGGCACTTTTTTATGTGAAGTTAAGTCTCTTACACAACACATTAGAGATGGGAACATAAAATGGCACAGCTGCTGTGGAAAACAGTTTGGTAGTTCCTCAAGAAGTTAAACACAGTACACTAGGGTCAAGGGTTCAGATCCCTATACCTGCCAACCATCAAAAAAAAAAAAAAAAGAAGTTAAACATAGTTAACAGATGACCCAGCAATTCTACCTCTACCTATACTACTTAAGAGAATTAAAAACATGTGTCCACACAAATATTTGTATGTGAATGTTCATAGCAACATTACACATAATGGACAAAAAGTGGAGGGGGTAAGTCCGTTAACTGATGAACGGAGAAACAAATTGTGGAATATTCCCACAATGAAATATGATTCAGCCATGATACATGCTATAACATGAATGAACCTTGAAAACATACTCAGTGAAAGAAACCAGCCACAAAAAGCCATGTATTGTATCATTCCATTTATATGGAATGTCCCAAATAGGCAAATCCATAGCTAAAGTGAGGAGTTTCCTTATAGGGTGATAAAAATGTTCTTAAATTAGATAGTAGCAATGTTGCACAACCTCGTGAATATACTAAATACCACTGAATTATACACTTTAAGATGGTGAATTTTATGATATGTGAATCCTATCTTGATAAAAAAAAAAGAAATAGGTAACCAATCAGAAAAGCTGGAAAGGTGTTTGTGGAATAGTTATGGGGGAGGCAGGCCCATGCTGGTTCTTGCTGAAAGGTCTCACTCTAAACACAGACCGATGAATACCCAAGAGTGCAACTTTCCGGGAGTGAGCAATGTTGAATTCTAGAAACAAAGGGGTCGTTTTCACAGGCAGAGAAGGAAAGGACATTTGCTAACCAATTGGATGTGTCCAAACCACTGTGACAGAATGCGGCCACTTTCAGAAATAAACTAGGGAGGCAGATTTTTGACAAATGTCCTGTGAGGTCCCAGTTCCTGAAAGGCATCTGGGAGGCAGTGCAGTGAATGATTAAGAGCCAGGGCTCCTGAGTCCATCTAGGTTCTTAAAGATCATGGACTTTGATTCTCTTATCTATAAAACAGGAATAGTAATAGCAGCCACCTTTTATGGCTGTGACAGAGACCTAATGAGATAATATAGGCAAAATGCTTAGTAGAGTGGCACAAAATAAGTAATAAATGTTAACCTCAACTTGTTAATGTAGCTGTTTTTATTATCATTGATAACATTGCTTAGTTTCTATCTACACAAGTATAAAAATTTAGGTAAAAAAGCCAAATTTATAGAAATGCTCATTAGCATTATCAAAATGATGATCAATTATAAATGAATCCTAATCTATAAGAAAGATCTTAATATCAAAGTAGACTGAGTGTTAGAATGAGTGACAATGCCTAAAGAAATGCCCCCAAGAGGGAAATGCAAATCAACTGCAATGAGATATCGCTAACCCACCAGGATGGCTGTAATAAAAAAGACAGAGAATGACAAGTGTTGGCACTTTTTTATGTGAAGTTAAGTCTCTTACACAACACATTAGAGATGGGAACATAAAATGGCACAGCTGCTGTGGAAAACAGTTTGGTAGTTCCTCAAGAAGTTAAACACAGTACACTAGGGTCAAGGGTTCAGATCCCTATACCTGCCAACCATCAAAAAAAAAAAAAAAAGAAGTTAAACATAGTTAACAGATGACCCAGCAATTCTACCTCTACCTATACTACTTAAGAGAATTAAAAACATGTGTCCACACAAATATTTGTATGTGAATGTTCATAGCAACATTACACATAATGGACAAAAAGTGGAGGGGGTAAGTCCGTTAACTGATGAACGGAGAAACAAATTGTGGAATATTCCCACAATGAAATATGATTCAGCCATGATACATGCTATAACATGAATGAACCTTGAAAACATACTCAGTGAAAGAAACCAGCCACAAAAAGCCATGTATTGTATCATTCCATTTATATGGAATGTCCCAAATAGGCAAATCCATAGCTAAAGTGAGGAGTTTCCTTATAGGGTGATAAAAATGTTCTTAAATTAGATAGTAGCAATGTTGCACAACCTCATGAATATACTAAATACCACTGAATTATACACTTTAAGATGGTGAATTTTATGATATGTGAATCCTATCTTGGTAAAAAAAAGAAATAGGTAACCAATCAGAAAAGCTGGAAAGGTGTTTGTGGAATAGTTATGGGGGGAGGCAGGCCCATGCTGGTTCTTGCTCAAAGGTCTCACTCTAAACACAGACCGATGAATACCCAAGAGTGCAACTTTCAAGGAGTGAGCAATGTTGAATTCTAGAAACAAAGGGGTCGTTTTCACAGGCAGAGAAGGAAAGGACATTTGCTAACCAATTGGATGTGTCCAAACCACTGCGACAGAATGCGGCCACTTTCAGAAATAAACTAGGGAGGCAGATTTTTGACAAATGTCCTGTGAGGTCCCAGTTCCTGAAAGGCATCTGGGAGGCAGTGCAGTGAATGATTAAGAGCCAGGGCTCCTGAGTCCATCTAGGTTCTTAAAGATCATGGACTTTGATTCTCTTATCTATAAAACAGGAATAGTAATAGCACCCACCTTTTATGGCTGTGACAGAGACCTAATGAGATAATACAGGCAAAATGCTTAGTAGAGTGGCACAAAATAAGTAATAAATGTTAACCTCAACTTGTTAATGTAGCTGTTTTTATTATCATTGATAACACTGCTTAGTTTCTATGTACACAAGTATAAAACTTTAGGTAAAAAAGCCAAATTTAGGGCCGGCCCGGTGGCGCACTCCGTAGAGTGCGGCACTTGGGAGTGCGGCAGCGCTCCCGCCGAGGGTTCGGATCCCATATAGAGACCGGTCGGCTCACTGGTTGAGCGCGGTGCGGGTGCAACACCGAGGGTTGCGATCCCACTGCCGGTTGCGGTACGGGCGCGACACTGAGGGTTGCGATCCCGTTACCAGTCACAAAAAAAGAAAAAAAGGAAAAAAAAAAAAGCCAAATTTATGGAAATGCTCATTAGCATTACCAAAATGATGATCAATCATAAATGAATCCTAATCTATAAGAAAGATCTTAATATCAAAGTAGACTGAGTGTTAGAATGAGTGACAATGCCTAAAGAAATGCCCCCAAGAAGCAAGAACCTTGTGTGATAAATTGGAGCTTCCAGCAAATCAGAACTCAGGTCAAGGTGAAATCAAGTTCATAAAGCTTCACCAGAATCAGTACTGGTCTTTACAGCCTGATGAAAATAAGAGACATTTGCATCAAGTGGAAAAGAGTGCAAGAGACAAGATTCTGAATGAAAAGCAAAAGAAAGAAAAGTCAGAAGACAATGCAACATAGAAATGAAACTGTGAAATGGCAACAATCCTCCCTATTTTGTTTGGCTCAGGGCAGTGTTTTTTAAAAACTTTCTATTCAAAAATTTTAAAACACTGTAGTTTCATTTAGAAAACAATCTGAGAAAAAGTATATGTCCTATAGGCACATGTATATATGTGTACATACATGGGTGTGCAATAAATAGAAAGCTTGGCCTGGAGAATCTGGAGGACCACTTTATAAAGTAGTCATGCCAAGTGATTTGGAGCCTGCAGTTTTGCCGAACAACTATTTTGGCACACAAGGGCCACTGCAAAAAGCACAGAGGTGGGCTACAAGTGCTAAGAATCATTTCCCCCAGAGAAGGATTCATGACAATGATATCTGACAAATATTAACAACCAAAGGCTTTGCAGCAGTTCATATAGGGCTGGCCAGTTAGCTCACTTGGATAGAGCATAGTGTTATAACACCAAGGTCAAGAGTTCAGACCCCCTTACCGGCCAGCCCTATACAAACAAAATGGGCAAAAGCAGTTTATATAGAGACAACTAGTAGGAGAACTGATGTCACAGGTACCTAGTAATAAAATGACAATACCACCTATTGAGCACAATTGATACCTACATGCCAGGCACTGGTCTACACACTTTACATATCTTCACTCAATTAATCCTCCCAGCATTCCTCTGAAGAATTATCTTATCTCCATCTTACAGATGGGGACATCAGATCAGAAAGGCTGAGCAACTTGACCAAGGTCGCAAAGCTGGTAAATGGAAGACTCAGGCAGTGCTGGCTCCTGAGAGACTTTTTTTCTTTTTTCTTTTTTTTTTTTAATGCTGGCTGGTACAAGGATTGAATCCCAGACCTTGGTGTTATGAGCACCACATTCTCACCAACAGATCTAACCAGCCAACTCTGAGTCCACATTCTTAACCACTAGACTCTACTTATGCCCCTTGGCGATACTTCTAATACAGACCCAATGAATGCAAAAGCAGCTACTCAGAATAGCCAATCATCTAGTCACAAAGCAAACTGCAATTTGGTTTCCGCAAAACAGAACCCCTTGTATTAAATTAATAAATTTCATTTAATAAGTTTCATTTTGAATGTTATGTGTTTTGTACTTTGTGCCTAATTTGTAAATGTTTTGATTTTATACTTGAAACAATAAGCACAAGGTATTTATACCTAATTTCAAGCTACAGATATTTAAGCAATATAATAATAACTTTAGTAAACTCTAAGTGTTAGTGAGAATCTTTTACCCTTAAAATATACGCTCCAAGAAATGCTGGTCTCTGTGGATGCTCAAAGACCAGCTTCGAGGCCCAGCTCTAACAATGATGGCACTGGACATGTGGTTGTGCATCTGTGTTTCATGTTTGCCAGTTCCTCACCTCACTGTCCAGTATTCATCTATACATCCTGACCCTTGCCCCGTGAGCTCCCCCGTAACACCCAGGATAACACTTCCCACATAGGGTGGATGGTTACTGATTCAATGACCTTAAGCTGGAATTTTCCAATCATAAGACTCATGAGAGATAAAGGCAAGGCACATGACAAAGAGAAGGCTGGCTGGTCTGTGAAGGAGACAGAGATACATTAAGAGCTAAGACAGGTGAGTGAACCTAAGTTACACCACGCGCCTAAGTCACGCCACAGGCCAGCTATCTCTGAAGGCAAGGACTGCTCCTCTCCAGTGTGTTCTATCTAAATTCCTCCATTTGACATCTGAAAACTCCATCTAATGTGCTCAGTGATCAGAAGCCATTTCTGGGGCCTACATTCTCATGTGTGCAACTGACAGGCATTTGATTTGATTCTCAAACAGCCCTATGAGGGAATCTCCATATTAAAGATGAAGAAACAGAGCTTCAGAAAGAGTTAGCAATTTGCCTGACACTACTGGACTTGCAAGTGGTGGAACAGGACTCAAAAACAGGTCTGCTCCAAGCCCAGCCTGGAATAGCACCCAATCCTGGTGCTATTCTCACACTGCGTGGGAAACCTGGAAGGAACTGAACGTGGGCGGAGGGGTGAGGGGGGCAGCAGGAATGGAAAAGAAGGTCTTAAACTCGGGCTGATGGAACATGGGTCCGACTGAAGGAGGCCCTTAATAAAAGGTTATCATTTTTCACCTTTCAGATAAGCAGATATCCAAAAGTCTGATAATACCTTCTGTTGGCAAGGCTGAGAGGATGTAGGTATATTCCCGTGGAATGTGAATAGGCAGCACAGGTTAAATATCCCTTCTCACAAATGCTTGGGACCAGAAGTGTTTCCAGATTATTATTTATTTTGGACTTTGGAATATTGGCAGATCCTTAATGGTAGAGCATCTGTAATCCAAAAATCTGAAATCTGAAATGGTCCGATGAGCATTTTGTCTGAGTGTCATATTGGCACTCAAAAAGTTTTGGATTTTGGAACATTGCAGATTTTGGATTTTTGGGTGAGGGATGTTCAATCTATGTCTGTGAAAATTACAAATTAACTTTTCCTTGGGCCCAGCAATTTTGCTTCTGGGTTAAATGAACAGAAATACTTGCATAGAACTAGGAGACCATATACACGAGATTATTTAGGGAAACAATGTACTACATTGTCCATTAAATACAGGGCCAATTAAAAAAACTAAGGTACAGAGCCAGTTGCAAAAACATGCCAAAAAACTAAGGTACTTTCATACAATGAAACAATGTGCAATGGGAAAAAAAAAAAAAAAAAAAACAGAAGAGGCTCTGATATGAACAGATCTCCAAAACAAGCTACAGAACAGTATATAAATACTACTTTTTGTGGAAAAGATGTGGGTGGGAGTAAGAAATAAGGAAGAAATATTTAAATCTATATATGGGTATTTGTTGTGGATGCATTTAGAAACTCTGAAAGAATATGCAAAAAATTAACAATTACAGTCAAGGGGGTGGAAGGGAAAAAGAAGACACTGGATGGGGACATGAATGGGAAAGACCTCTCACTGTACATGTGTCATTTTTTTAACCATAAAAAGGTTATTCAAAAATTATTTTTTTTAGTTCGGTGGCTGGCCTGTACCTTTGACCTTGGTGTCACCAGCACCATGCTGTATCAAATGACCTAACTGGCCAGCCACCAAAAATTAATTTTTGAGGAAGGCTGTGTATAGAAGGCTCTGCCCAGCCCCCCTGTCCAGTCGAGTTAGTCTGCTGCACATACTCTTGCACACACTCGCTTGTCCCCATTATACACCACCCCTCCAAGCATCACTCAGGTTTTAGCTATCCCAGGTCTTCTGTGAGGTCACACCTGCATGCATTATGCTTTACTGCATTTGTCAGAAGTTGTACATATGCTCTGAACCATTAGTCTCCTTCTCCCTGGATGAAGAAGACAGTAGTATTTTCTTCAGAGAGACTAAGTGGCTTGTCAAAGGCCACCCAGGGGCAGAGCTGCAGCGTGAGCCAGCTTGAGCCCTTCTAAATCCTTCCTTCCTGCTGTGTCCATGCTGCCTCCATTGCAGCTCCCAGCAACTCCAGTCTCCAAAGAGAAACACAGTCTGCTTTGACTTTCTTTATACACTGATGGAGTTCAGTGGCAGACAATCATGTGCAACAGAAAGGAAGGGAGTACAGAGGGAGGTCAGGGGCGTGGGAGGAACACTCACTCTTGAAGAGATCGGTCTGAATCATCAGCATTGGCTATGCCCAGGTCAGAGTCATAGGACATGGGCTCCTCAGAATGGTCTGGACTCTTGGAGTCATTCTCTTGGAGTAGGCAGCTATCAGAGTTTAGGCTGCAGGACAGCTGCGATGAACCGGCTGTGTCCAGGCTGAGCGAGGAGGCAGTGAGCTTCCTACTCTGCTGGATCTTATGGCCTGAGTGCTGGACTTCAATGTCCTCTGAACCTGAGGAATGGGAAACTGAATCCAGAGACTCCTTTCGCTGTAGTTCCGCGCCAGAGGTAGTGAGAGGGTCAAGCTCAGAGAGTGGGCAAAGCCCAGAGAGGGCCAATGGGGTGAGCGTCCACTCATTTAAGATGGCAGACTTGTAGGAGAGTTCAAAGGACAAGGACGTTAGCCCCTGCAGGAAGCTGAGGAGGAACTCGCCCTCCTCGGCGTCTCGAAGCAGGGCTGTGGGCTGATAGTACTCGCACAGCCGGGCCTGCTCCTGGAGGAGCAGTTTCAGGTAGCACTCCATCAGGCCGTCGTTGAGGGCCAGCCGCAGCCATGCCCGGCAGCGGCCCACGTCTGTGTTGACAAAGATCAGATGCTCCAATTCCGAGATGATGTGTCTGGGAAGGCAAAGAACAGACTCATTTCCAAAAACTACCTCAAATCACTGAAATCACTGATATTGTTTTATCCACTGGGTAGCAAGAACCAATAATAATGACTACAAATATCTATACAGGCATGAAAAATTCTTGGATGATAGTGTTTTAAGAGGAATACAGAAATATTGAACTACAACTCCCAATTTTCAAGGTTATGTCATGAAGGATAATTTCCAAGTTCATTAAAACTACCCCTTGCCGGGCCAGCCCGTGGCTCACTCGGGAGATTGCAGTGCTGATAAGACCAAGGCCATGGGTTCGGATCCTGTATAGGGATGGCCGGTTAGCTCACTGGCTGAGCATGGTGCTGACAACACCAAGTCAGGGGTTAAGATCCCCTTACCGGTCATCTTGGGAAAAAACAAACAAAAAACAACAAGAAAAACTACCCCTTGGACCCCTGCCATCACCTGCTCATTCGATACTTGTTTGCTGAACCCCTAGGTACAAACTCCTGGGAGCTGTGATAAAGACATGGTCCCTGCCCTCAGTCCAAGTAACTGCCTTTCAAGGACACATCGAGGCAAGCCGTTCTGTTCATAGAGACAGAGCGGGGGGTTGAGTAATCATTCCTGGGTGGGAATAAGAAAAATGCCATAGAAAGGGCAATATCTGAGCCAGGCCCTGAGGGATTTCAAGAGGCAAAGATGGAAGGAGATCCTACTAGGCATAAGAAACAGACAGAAAAAAGGCATAAAGGGCAGGAGAGCAACTGGCCTGCAGCAGGAGTGGGGAGCACTCCAATTACCACACGTGGAGGAAGAGTGGGTGATTCGGTTGCAAAGTCAGGTAATGGAGGGTCTTGAATATCAACAGCTGGGGCAATGCACGACAAGGGTTCTCACACCTGGCTGTGGGATCCCCTAGGGAACTTGATCAGGATACAGATTCTGGGGAATCAGACCCCAGGCTACCATTTGGGAGCCTGTGGGCTGGAGGTTTTTGCACAGAACCACAACTATGTTGAGGGTGGATTACTCTGGATAATGAGATCAGACCCCAGGTGCACCAAACTCCGTTCCTGAATCCCTCAGTCTGATGTAAATGCCCCTCTGAACTACCACAGTCCCCTGTGCAGAGTGAGATAAGGGGAACAATAAGAAAGCCACTGTCACCCAGGAGACACGTATGAACCTGAGACAGGGCAGTGGCAGTAGGCATAGGAAGGAAGACCAGAGACTGAAAAGGCACCGTTGGGATGAGGGTGGCATTTATTAGCTCTTAGAGACATAGTGCCAGGTACTTGCTCAAAAGCCTGGGTAGTTAGGGGCAAGGCCAAAAAGACAAGTGTCCCAGGGTGAGTATTCAGATGCTCTACCTGAATTCCACTTTTACTTAAAAACCAAAACCCATACCTCTTTATGAATAGAATATTTAGAACACAAATGTTCAAATATTCTAGGGCAGGATCAACAACCTTTTTCTGTAAAGGGCCAGATAGCAAATATTTTAGGCTTTGCAGGCCATACAACCCCTGTTGCTACTACCTAACTCTACCATACTGTGGCAAGAAAGGCTGCTCTTACTAAAGGCAACCCAGCCCAGTGGCTGAAAGCAGCCACAAGCTCTTGCCTGAGGACCGAGGGTCTCAAGATCTACAGGTACAGCAGCTGGGAAGCTTGGTCTAGAGGTACACCTTTCTTTTTTTTTTTTTTTGTCCTTTTTGAGACCGGCCGCACCGCGCTCAGCCAGTGAGCGCTATGAGCGCACCGGTCATCCCTATATAGGATCCGAATCTGCGGCTCCCAGCGCTGCACTTTCTAGAGTGCGCCACGGGCTCGGCCCTGTTGGTAACTTTTTTAAACCTAAAAAAACAAAAACCCATACCTCTTTATGAATCCAATATTTAGAACACAAATGTTCAAATATTCTAGGGCAGGGTCAGCAAACTTTTTCTGTAAAGGGCCAGATAGTAAATATTTTAGGCTTTGCAGTCCATACAACCCCTGTTGCTAATACCTAACTCTACCACAGCGTGGCAAGAAAGGCTGCTCCTACTAAAGGCAACCCAGCCCAGTGGCTGAAAGCAGCCACAAGCTCTTGCCTGAGGACCGAGGGTCTCAAGATCTACAGGCACAGCAGCTGGGAAGCCTGGTCTAGAGGTACACCTTTCTATGAGACACTCTCCACCCCACCTCACCCTGTGTCTGCACTAGAACACAGGGTGTCTCTGTTGGCTTCCCACACAGCTGGAGAGGAATAGCCAACCATCCCACACTCTGAAACTCCTCCCCAATACTTCTCCAGGTGATCTCACTTGTGGGTGACAGCTTTCAGAAGGGGCCAGAAGACAGGCTGAGGCAGAGGTTTCTGGTGGGCACTTTTCTTCTTCTTTCCTCCAGCTTCAGCTCGGATGTGCTTGGCATGAAGGCCGTGGATAAACACAGCCTCCAGGGCACTGCACATGGTGTTGGCATCTCCGTCTTCACTAGTGACCACCGTGTCCAGGGACACATACTGCTTCTGCAATGACTTCACGGATCCCACTAGCTTCTTCTTGATGACCTAGGCAGTGTCAAACAGAACACAGACTTTAAAGGAAAATCTTACGGAGAGACCCTGGAATGTGATTCTGCCTATTGCCAAATATATGTGCAACCACAAGAGCATACACATCTATGTACGCATCTACAGATGCCTTCTGCAAAATTAGCACATGTTAATTATAGCAAATAGAGTCAAAGCATAGAGAAGAAAAAGAAAATCACACACTTACACCACCCAGAGATAAACGCTGTTACTGTTGTTTTGCATATCCTTCATTATGGATCCTTTCTGTTGTCTCAACTGAACCTCAATGAACTTACGGCCACATAAACTTGTTTTTAAATACGGGCTCTATCACAGTTACAGCTACAGGAGCTTGGGTAACTCCATCTAGGACAGGGGTGAGACTTCCACCCTTATTTACATAATTAAAGTTGTGCAGAGAATCAATAAGCTAAGAGGCAAAAGTTGCTACTTTAGAACAACATCAAGAAAACAGGAGCATCATCTACATTAAGAAAGATCCCATGGCCGGGTTGCTCAATGGGTGAGCGTGGTGCTGACAACAACAAGATAAGGGTTAAGATCCCCTTACCGGTCATCTGTTTAGAAAAAAAAAGAAAGATCCTAGGCCCAGGAGCCAGAGGCGTAGGTTCAGTCCCAGCTCTGTCAGTAATCTGGGTCACGTCAGACATTTCACTTAACCTCTCTGAGCCTCAATTTCCTCATCTGTTAAATGGAAATAATACTTCCTCTTGTACAGCACTGGAGGGACTGCTCCTATTTTTTATTCATCCTTGTGTCCTCATCACTTGGCACTGTGCCTGGCACATATAAGTACTCAATAAATGTTAACTAAATACATTACAAAATGGACATAAAGTCTTCTGGCTGGTTAGCTCACTCAGTTACAGTGGGTGCTGATAACACCACGGTAAAGGGTTTAATTCCTGTACTGGCCAGCTGACAAAAATAAATAAATAAATAAAATTTAAAAACCCTACTCCTTTAGTCCAGAGTTCACTCCCTGTACTGGCCAGCCACCAAAAAAATAAATTAATTTAAAAAAAAGAGAGAGAAAGAAAGAAAAGTTAAAAAAAAATACATAAAGTCTTTTTGGAAATATAGAGTACAAATTGTTCAGTAATAATTGTAAGTATGTCAAACTTACATAAGTGTTTGGAAAAGGGCTGGGAGGGTTTGCAGAAAAACTGGTTTGAATTGTTGGGTAACAGGATTATGAATAAATGTTTACTCTTTCATTTTGATTTTAACCAAAACTAAATGTTAATATTCTTTGAAAAGTTAAATGTGTTTTTTAAATAACAGCTTTAATTCCATAAAATTTACCCATTTAAAGTGTACCATTCCAGGGGCTGGCCCGGTGGCGCACTGCTACAGTGCGCCGCTTGGGAGTGCGGCGGCACTCCCACCGAGGGTTCAGATCCCACATACAGACCGGTTCTCGCTCACTGGCTGAGCAACGTGCGGGGGCAGCACCGAGGGTTGCGATCCCGTTGCCAGTCCCAGTCCGGTACGGGCACGACACTGAGGGTTGCGATCCGTTGCCGGACACAAAAAAAGACAAAAAAGGAAAAAATAAATAAAATAAAATAAAGTGTACCGTTCTGGCTGGCCGGTTAACTCACTCTGTAGAGTGTAGCTCTGATAACACCAAGGTCAAACGTTCAGATCCCCTTACCAGACAGCAGCAGGAAAAAATAAAAAAGTATACAGGTCTATAGTTTTATTATATTCGCAGGATTGTGCGACCATCACCATTATCTAATTTTAGAAGATTTTCATCATCTTCAAAAAGAAACACTGTGTATTAGTGATTGCCAGGGGCTGGGAGAGAGGGGAATAGGGAGTGACTGCTAATCACTAGTCTACTTTCTGTCTCTACGGATTTGCCTATTCTGCACATTTCATGTAAATGGAATCATGAAACGTGACCTTTTGTGTGTGGCTTCTTTGATTTAGCATAATATTTTCAAGGTTCATCCACAATGTAGCATGTATCAGAACTTCATTCCTGGGCCAGCCCGGTGGCGCACTGCTACAGTGCGCCGCTTGGGAGCGTGGTGGCGCTCCCGCCGAGGGTTGGGATCCCACATACAGACCGGTTCCCGCTCACTGGCTGAGCGAGGTGTGGGGGCAACACCGAAGGTTGCGATCCCGTTGCCGGTCCC